AAAAAGAAAAAAAAAAAAAAACACCCCGAGTGCCCGTGAGACTGAGCTGGTACTGTGAGAATTCGACAGGTATGTGTCGAATTTTTTTTTTTTTTTTTCTAAATATATTTTTTGACACGTTGGTGTCGAAAATCGACCAAAAAATCAACCGGTATGTGTCGAAAATTGCCGGCGAGTTTCAAGAAAAAAAAAACTTCAAAATCGACTTCGAAGCTCAAAAAAGACATCGATACTTACCTTAATGTGTTCTCCTTCCATATATACTACCATATTATTGTCTTATAACTCCATTTTTATAAGTTTTGTGAGGTTTTAATTTCTTTATTTTTGAAATTTTTTAGAAGGGTTTGTTGTGAGGAAGAAAAAGGAAGAGGTTGAGGGATTTGTGAAGAAGAATATGAGTTTGAGGGGTTTTATGTGTTTGTATTGAAGAAAGAAAAAAAAAAAAAAAAAAAAAAAAAGAAAAAAACTGCCAACAAATCGATAAAAGTACTCTAGGGCGAACATTTTCATCCATAAATTAAGTAAAAATCAAACTGTAAAACAAAACGGGAGATAAGTTTTCTTTTCAAACTTGTTGATATTGTATATTGAAAGAGAAATAGCTGAAATATTGAGTATGAATTCGATCAGCGATATACTTTTTAACATGATAGAACGTCGTGCGTCTTTCTGAAAAATATATGTTTAAGAGTTTTAGTTGATTCTTTTTTAGTCAAAGAAAGAAGTTAAAAACCTATTAAAAGAAGTCAGTTGCTAAAAATCTATTAAGATATTGTTTTAAATGTATATATGGCCCCTCATGATGAAATTGTGGCTTCAACATTGACGATCCTCAAATTTTACGCAATTGCATTTCTGCAAACAACTTATCGAAGCAAACTACAAATCATAGTAACATACATCCATCTGCTAATAATCGTATAAGAGGCACCGAACAGCATCTGAGAGAACACAATAATAGCTTAGAAACACGACTATCACGACTTTAAACTAAGAAGATACGACAAAACAACGTGTCACTCCCAATTCCAAACGGTGTTATTATTACTCAGATAAGATACAAATACCCGGCACAGCATAATTACAGTCCGATTCAAAAACAGAGATTTCACTTTCGGTGCAACATGAAATCAAACAGGCCGTCACATTACATAATGGTGCAGCCACGACTTCTTTCCTCGGATGGTTGTGTTGTAGATTGCTGGTACCTGTTCGACTCAGACGGGTTGTATGTGTATTCCGATGTATCGAGCCCGTACTGTTACACAAGTATTAAGTCAGTACTGTAGTTTCATCATCAGCAAATACAATAAAACCGAAAATATTATTAGACGTGGAGCTGAATAATCACAAAATAATGAACATAATTAATCAGGATCAAGGGACTTCCGACCTCTAAAACCTGGCTGATAAACGACCACATTTACAAACCAAGAACTTCAAAGCGTGAATAATTACTCACTCGTTTCAGAAAAAAATGCAACATTGAAATGGAAAAGAAATAATATTTCTCAAAAAGACGAATGTATTTGCCGGGGCCAAAGAGGAGTAAAAAAAAATTTCACCTTTTCCCTCATACGTCTACTCCAAGAGTCGGTTCTGCTTGTAAGGTTATCAGGGGTATTAGTGACCGGGACACCTGTAACTGGACCGCCAGCTGGCTTATTTATCAATGGCTGCCGGGTCTGTTGCCTGGGTCGACCTATATATTCTTCATCACTGTCATAGTCTGCTGGTGTATTTGCAGCCCTTACAATAAGCGCTAGCAAAAATATAAGCGCCTGCATTTTCACTGTAGTTAATATGACTGGAATAGCTAACGAACTCAAACAGCTTTAACAATCAAAAAACTTCACTATAGAGGTCAAATTATATTTCCGACACTCGGACAAAATATAGCACGATTTAGTAGGTAAAGTGCAGATAATAGTAAGGTCTATAACTAGCAAAGCCAATGTTATTCAAGAGCAGATCTTCGTCTTACCTCTAGTATAACAGCACCAAGAGCAACCCATTTGATAATTTTCCAGTGCTTATCCAGAAATTCATATATCATAGCAAAATTTCCAGTCCCGTCGGTTGGAATTTTCTGTTCAATTTAATTTTTTTTATCAGAGTCCCGAATAATAAGTGTGGAACTAAAGATAACAAATACAGTGAAACTTACGTCTTTCCAGCTTTCGTCAAAGAATATAAAAGCAGCAAATCCCAGCTCGGCCAATATCAACAAGATCACCAGCACTGAATACTTTATTATCTTAAGGAACCCAATCATTAATAAGGCAAAAAACACAATGTGGACAATAACTTTTAGATTCCATACGACTTAAATGTTCACAAAAACGTGAAACAGACAGAGACGGAAAGTATTAAGTTAATTCCAGGAAACAAACATATTGTTAATCATATTTCTCAATAATGATAAAAGTACAGTTTCTTGACGTTGATCACTCAAGCTAGAAGCTTAAAGGATAGAGCAAAATTACTGTTACATTCTCAAACTTGAAACAGTTAGCATTTTTCAACTAATGCAAAAGCTTTAGGATAGTGTGTACACACATTCCGCAAAACGAGACAGCTTGACCGTTTATATGCGACATTCAGCAGTTCAAGTACCCAATCACATTAATATGAAATAAAATACGTTAGTATAGCAAACACTTGAACAGTATAAAATGAATAGAAAAGGATACACAAGTGAGGCAGCAACCATTCCGTGTAGCAGTTCCAATGCAACCACAACAAGCGACGAAAAGAACAATTCCACCAAGCCCAATGAAAAGATAAATAAACCTGCAATTCAAGTCAACATATTCATTTTCCGGAAACAAATATCATTAAATAACTAAAGACGAGGAGTTGTTCGCGCACCATGCTTTGGGCAGTTTGTCGAAAATGTTATTAGCCAAAGAAACAGCTAACAGCATGGGCCGACCAAGCTGTACAAAATCATCGGTCGAAGGGGGGAGTGCGGAATCACCACCATCATCGTCTGAAGAGATATTCTTATACTCAACAAAAAGGTATACTCCGTACCCAATCATACCCAAACCAACAAGAACTAAAAGGAAGTTCAACAGCTTCAATAGACACTCCCAAAAACCCTTACACGCCATTCCCGAAACCAATCTACGATGATTCAATTTTTTCCTTTACCGTTTCTAAATACTTCAACTCAACCCCTTTCTTTGCATCCTGCAAAATAACCCCAAAACTTATTGCCTTCTTAAATAATAAAAAATTAATAATCGTAAAAAAAAAACATAAGGCATGCAAATAAGATAGCTCTGAGGTAAAAAAAAAAAAAAAAAAAAAAAAAAGACTCTCCTTTGCAGTTAGTGTTAAAATTAACAGTTGAGTTTATGTACAACAATTTGCCCCAATTATATAATTTCTGCCCCTCACATGAAAGAAAATTACGAAGACTACCATGAACAAAACCTCAGAACTTAAAAAATGCCGATGAAAAATGCAGAATCGGAAATATAAAGGCAGGCACTAGGAGGAAACAATGTAATCTGCAGCAACAAGCGAAAAATAAACCTTGATAATTTAAATACTTCGTAAATAGGAAAAAAGAAATGGAAAAGGATCAGGGGAAAAACTCAAGTAAAGCTTTTTTTTTTTTTTGAGAGAGAGAGAGAGCTTACAGAAGAATCGGCGCGTGATAGTGTAGAGTAAAGAATAACAGGGGAGATAGAGATGGAGAAGAAGGGTGTAGAGGAAGAGTACGGTGAAACTGGGTTTTGCGGTGTCACCACCATAGTCGACACATGGCATTTTTTTCATTTTCTCTATTTTATTTCAAACAATGATCTGCTCCAACTGATGCTCACGTCACCATCTGATAATTGTTGACGGGATTTTGTATATCTGGACATTTACGCCCTCCAAATTGAAGTTACACAACAACCTCGATAAATAAATAACTTTGCTTCATTAATAAATTTACGTGCTATATTAATAATTCGCTAAATTTATAAGATAATACATATTTGAAAATTTTAAAAAGTCCCATATAATATATAAATTGATGATACTAGAAATATATCACTTTAAGTAGTTGAGATAGAAGGAGCTGGAGAGCAAAATGGATCACTGCTCACGTGCTAGATGATCATGAGATACCTGCGAACAGAGAACACGTGAACTAGGTCGGGGATTGATTCGATGGAAACCCCTCCTACGCTCAAGTCAGACGTGCGAATTGTAGAAATAGTTGAGAGGATATGAATTGTCGTATTGTTCCGATAATAGAGCGTACCTTTAATAAATGAATTAAATCGTTATTTATACCTTGTCGGTTGGGGTGAGATTAAATTGTTGGGCCCAAACCTTAATGTGATTGGGCTTTTGTAATAATGTTCTTCTAAATTAGGTTTGTGGCCCAGTAGATATAGATATTGTAAGCTTATTGGGATGACCCAAATATGCATATCATTAGTCCTCCACTCTTGAGTCGATGTGGGAGTCAAGTCGAAAAGACTACCAGGTCTTGTCGAGAGTATATCGGTATTGTAGTTATCTTCATCTGTTTTCCTCTTGGGAGGAGGGAGGGCCGAAGCCTCTTCGATGCGCACGTGTTTCTCAGCGCGACTTAGTAACTCTTCCAGAGTGATTGGAGGTCTTCCTGCAATAGATTCATTGAATCTACCTTGCTTCAAGTTGTGTTGAATGATTTCCAGAGAGCATGCTTCCTCCCACGTTAGGAACTTCGTGGGCTGCCTCTATAAATCGTTGAATGTAGTTGCGGAGGGTTTCGCCCTCTCTCTGGGTAATAGTGAAGAGGTACGCGGAAGTCTTAGCGTACTCTTTGTCGATAGCGAAATGGTGGGTGAAGCGATCCGTTAGTTGACAGAGAGCTTCAATTGACCCAGTGGGCAAGGAGTTGAACCAGCTCAATGCTCGTTCGAAAAGCGTTGTGCGAAACATCTTGCACATCGCCGCGTCAATTCGGCCATATAGATTTGCCATGGCGTAGAACTTTTCAAGGTGCTAGAAATAGATCGCCTTAAGTAGTTGAGATAGAAGGAGCTGGGAGAGCAAAGTGGATCACTGCTCAAGTGCTAGACGACCTTGAGATACCTGCGAACAGAGAACACGTGAACTAGGCCGGGGGTTGATCCGACGGAAACCTCTCGTTATCCGCCGAGCCTTTCACGGATTGTAGAAATAGTTGAGAGAATATGAATTGTCGTATTGTTCCGATAATAGGGCGTACCTTTATAAATAAATTAAATCGTTATTTATACCTTGTCGATTTGGCTGAGATTAAATTGTTGGGTCCCAGTCATATTTGAAGGTGATTGGACTTTCGTAATATTTTTCTTCTAAATCGGGCTTATTGGGCTGACCCAAATATGCATATCATATATTAATAATGCATAAAATTAAATTTTAAATTACACGTACAGTACATATTTTATAGATCTATGAAGGCTTAATAAAATATAATTTAATTGTTGCTTGTTTCTTGATGAAGTGCACATTACCATCGATCTCATCCCTCACTTTTCTTAACATGGTTAAAACTTCTGGTATAGTTTTCTCATAAATCAACAGGAAATTATTTAATACCATTGTTGCTTTAAGAGCTTCCGTTCGTGACACGGGCTCTGTAGTGTATTGAACTAATAGTATAATGAATAATATACACGTAAAAAGATTAAAAAAATGTATTTACTAAAAATAATAATGAAAATAATTTCATAAATTAATAAATTATTAATTAATGTATAAATTAATAATTATTAATTTATCGATAAGTTATACTTCACTAATTTAATGGGATCTTGATGGACCTAACTGTATTAATTTATAGATGTTTAACTGTATAATGTTAAAAGGATTTCTATTTTTATATATAAAAAAATGGACTATTATTACAAATAAGTCCATCATGAACTACTTCTTCATAAGTGGATCTTTGATATAACCTCCAATACTTGTTTTAAGAGGGAGACACCGAAGTAATTTTTCACTATTTGAGAAAATCTCACTAGCTAAATTTTTATTTTTAGGATTTTATTCGAACCCTATGTGGGATTTGTGAACTCAATTCTTTGATTTTATGCAAGTATTAATTTCATATTACTTCTTCTACTTGTTTTAGTAAGTGCATGAACTTGATCATTTTATGTGCTTGATATTATTGAATTTGAATCAGATGATCCGTTTAATAATTATAACTGTGGTGGAAGAACATTTGTTGTGTTATCATAGGAATATAATTAATTTTTTAGGTACTCATAGTTGAGTTTTGTGCCTAATGCTTTGTTCTTGATTGAATTGCGTATGAATACAATAATTAAGTCCCGAATAATAGAATCGTGATACACGTGAAAGCGGATTATGATTAATTTAGCATCTCAGGTTAATAATCCGAGTTATTGCTTGCATACTTGACGGAATTGATGGATCAATTATCGCATAGGGGAAGATAAAATCCTAGATCTTTTTAATTTGATTAATCTTCGTGTTAATTTCTTACTTGGTCTATCTTGCCTTTTAATTTGCTTCTAATTTAATTTAATTTAATTATAATTTAGTTTAATCAACTCTAAATTCGACTGTATAGGGTGAGCCTGAACATAATTGGAAAATCTAGTGCTTAAGAATAGATAGTTGAATATTTCTCGTGAGATAGATACTGGGACTTAATTGTTCGCTATATTACTTGTTTGATACCTTTACTTGCGTGTAAGTATTACAACCAACAACCATCAAGGCATGAATTGGAGGAAGATGTTGAGGGGCCGGAATTGATGAATTTTCATCAGAAGGGAGCAAAATTTAATGGAGTTCAATCACAGGGATTTTATCAAATGTAGTCAATGGTAGAGTCAAATAAACATTCGATTTTGTTTTAGAGCGACTCTATAATAAGGTTGAGTATTGCCATGAAGTGGGCTCCACCCCCTCCTCAATTGTCTTGGTCACGCCGCCGCTTCCAATGGTGGTTTGTCGGTGGTGGAGGCTTGTGGGTAAGAGGGTCGATTCCCATTTTCCGTAGATTCTTCTTGATTTTCACCTCATTATCTATTTTTATTGGGAGGCGACGATCAATCTTCGAATTTGGAATGATGAAGGATGATACATGCACATAAAATGAAGATTGAAGCTTCGTTTGCTCCCTTCGATTCTTTTTTACGATGAGCTTTGTTTTCAGCCTAATCAAATTGATGAACAAGTACAACAAAAATAAGAAAAACTACAAGAGAAAGTCAACATGACACACCAACATGACCAACATCTTTGTTACTAGCTTAGAAGGGTGTTTGTGACAAACATTATAGTATGGGTGCAAATTGAACTTTTCATTTTTCTAATATTACAACTTAAAATAACTTATTTCAACAAAACAAAAGTAAAATTGATATTTCATACACCAAAAAATAGATTGGGAAAATTAATAAGACCCCCCTTATTTGGAAAAGTCATGTAAGGTAGATCCCCTCAATTAAATAATTTTACAAAATCCCTTAGGTTATACTTTAGCTAATTTTTAGACATTAAATTTCATATTGTCTTTCAACAACCCTAATTTCATTATTCTTTTCTTTCTCATTTACCGTCTTCTCTCTTCTCTATTTTTTTTTTCTCTCCTATCTTTTTTCACACAAATCCACTGACAATAAACAACGACAAAAAGGCGCAGTTTTTATTATGGCTTTTCTGTAAGAAATCGACATATGTATGTATGTCGGGTATATATGTGATTGTGAATTCCCAGTAACGCTGCGGAATTGAATTCAAATCAGAGGGACTTTTATTTTTATTTTTTATTTTGAGTAAAATTGAACAATAAGAAGATGAAACAAGTAAAATAGGTGAGCTTACGAGAAACGGCTGCAAATGGTGAGACATGTCTTGAAAAATAGATCTTCGTTAATGAAGAAATGTGGAATTTCGAAGAATTCCAACAACTGTGTGTGAAACATGAATTGTGGAATGAATTTGAGAAACACGACGTTTATTATAGTTGTGTTTTGTTATTTTCAGTAGCTAGTTCTTTAATCGATTATGCTTTAGTTGATGGTAATTAATACATCTAATAATAATGAAAAAATAAAAATTAGATAACGAAATAAGGACTTCTTCGACCCTACACTCGGTGATAAACACCGAGTGGGTCTTTTGCTGCCACGCGTCTTTTTTATTTTATTTTATAATATATTTCCCCGCTAGGGTTTACCTTTAGGGGTTTTAGAAAAATAAAAAAAAAAGAACACGTGGCGGCTGAAGACCCACCCGATGTTTATCACCGGGTGTTGGGTCGAAGGAGCCCGGAATTAGAGAGAATGAGAAAAGTGCATAGGTTTATTTCAAATAACGAAAAATAGATTGGACCTCTCCCTATTAATGAAAGATTTGAGGACCTCTCCATATTAATAAAAGATTTGAGGGAGTTTTATCAAAAACTCCAAATAGATTATGCACCCCAAAGTAAACAAATATTGGATTAGGCAGTCCATTTTAAATCTAATTAATGAAGTCAAAAGGACAACAAATGCAAATAGAGGTCTGATAAGGATTAATACTAAATTTAAATAATTGGAAAATAAATAAATATATTAGGAAAAGGGAATTATGCGACCTGGTTTGGTTGGCAAAGCAAAAAGTCACACCTTCATTCATTCTATTGCTTTTTCGATCTCTCAATTCTTCAATAAAATCCACTCATCTTATTTTATCTCTCCCCCCTTCCTCTGATTTCTGCGATCCTCCTCCTGGTAATCAATCCTCCATTTTTTTACAGTTAGTTACCATCATATCTCCTTTATCTGCGATCCGCTTCCGTTAATTTGCTTTCGAATTTTGTTAATTATACTGTTTATTCTTCAATTTTTGAATGTTTAATCTTCATTGTTGAATGCCTTTCTTTTTGTGTTTTTTTTCGATTATTCAATTTCTAGTATTGGGGTTATTTTGCAGGATACAAACAAAGGGGTTGAGTTGAAGTAATAGAAACTGTAAATTAAAGGAATAATTGAATCGGAGATTGGTTTTTGGGAATGGCGTGTAAGGGTTTCTGGGAATGTCTGTTGAAGCTGTTGAACTTTCTGTTAGTTCTTGTGGGTTTGTGTATGATTGGGTATGGAGTATACCTTTTTGTAGAGTACAAGAATATCTCTTCAGATGATGATGGTGGTGATGCCGCACTTCCCCCTTCGACCGATGCTTTTGTGCAGCTCGGTCGGCCCATGCTATTAGCTGTTTCTTTGGCTGATAACATTTTCGACAAACTGCCCAAAGCATGGTACGCGAACAACTAGCCGTCTTTAGTTATTTAATGATATTTTGTTTCCGGAAAATGAATATGTTGACTTGAATTGCAGGTTTATTTATCTTTTCATTGGGCTTGGTGGAATTGTTCTTTTCATTGCTTGTTGTGGTTGCATTGGAACTGCTACACGGAATGGCTGCTGCCTCACTTGTGTATCCTTTTCTATTCATTTTATACTGTTGATCTGTCTGCTACACTAAAGTATTTTATTCATATTAATGTGACTGGGTACTTGAATTGCTGATGTAGCATGTAAATGGTCAAGCTGTCTCGTTTTGCAGAATGTGTGTCGCTACTATCCTAAAGCTTTTGCATTATTTGAATCTGTTGCACATTGGTTTGAACATTTAAGCTGTATAGTAGAATCACAGAAATGACTGTCGACATTGTGATTTATTCTTTTGTCATGATTGGGGTTCCTTAAGATAATAAAGTATTCATTACTGGTGATCTTGTTGATTTTGGCCGAGCTGGGATTTGCTGCTTTTATATTCTTTGACGATGACTGGAAAGACGTAAGTTTCACTATATTTGTTGTCTTTAGTTCCACTCTTATTATTCGGGACTCTGATAAAATGTAAACTGCACAGGAAATTCCAACCGACAAGACTGGAAATTTTTCTATGATATATGACTTTCTGGATGACCACTGGAAAATTGTCAAGTGGGTTGCTCTTGGTGCTGTTATACTAGAGGTAAGGCTATTGCCAATGTCTCTCATACCCATATCCTCATATATAGATCGAAAAAATGTTTATACTATATTTTTTATCGAAAAACTGTTTATACTATATAGGCAACAAAGATTTTAGCTATCTAAACGAGTGTGTATATCGTCTAAGAATTCCACTGTCAATTACCAAATGGTTGGTTATGCAAGTTCAATTTAGGTCATATACCAGATCTAGTTATAGACCTTGCTATGATTTATTTGCTTAGTGTTGTCTTTACCAAGTAATTGTGGTATACCGTATATTTGGTCCTAATGGCAGGAATAAATGTTTGGCATCTATCGTTAAGGTTTAGATTGTTAAATCTGTTTGAATTCATTAGTGTTTCCAATTGTATTAACGATAATGAAAATGTGCAGGCGCTGATATTTTTGTTAGCACTTATTGTAAGGGCTGCAAATAGCCCATCAGACTATGATAGTGATGAAGAATATATAGGTGGGTCCAGACAACAGATCCGGCAGCCATTGATAAATAGGCCAGCTGGCGGTCCAGTCACTGGCCCCCCTGTCACTAACAACCTAGATCAGCGTACAAGCAGAACTGACTCTTGGAGTACTCGTATGAGGGAAAAGGTGACAAATGTCTTTACTCCCTTTTTGCCTTGTCAATACATTATTTTTCTTGAGAGAATCTTTTTTCGATTTCATGTTACATTTTGTTTTTGATTTAGCTATTCGATGATTTTTTTATTAGTAATGGATTAAGTGCTAATCAACGAATACAAGTAACAATGCTTAGAATTTAGCTCGCGTGAAGCTGGAAACAATAGAATCCTTATAAAGCTCTTAGAAGAATAACATGTCTTCATTCCTGTTTTATATGGACTTGATAATTGTGTGTTGGTAAAGATGGTATTCAGCTAAGCTTGAAAATATTTTACGAGAGGTGCAGGTGCTTCTAACATGTTTTAGGTTACTAGATAAAATATTCAGAAGAAGACCTTGTACGTAAAAATATAAGATGTTTAGTAGGTTAAGATTGTTTAAAAAAATGTGATGATATTTGAACTTCTCTTTTAAGATCTTTCGAGCTACTTTATTTGACCACGTAATGACAGGCTTGTCCTCAACACTAGAAACATTAAGGTTGTATATGGTTGGGGGTAACAGCCTAACAGCTACGGTAATAACCAATCTGATTAATTACGTGTCAATACCAATTGCGGTTCCATTATCAAATAGTAATATATGATTGTCTCGAGATCTGGATTATTTACTGTTGTTAGAGTTTGTGGTATTAAAAAACAGCATCAAATCCTTCTAGAGCCCAAACCTTCTAGAGTTCAATTCCCGTTCTCAACCCATGAACAACATGATCTTGAACCCTCTTTCGTAATAAACAAAATCCCCTCTTGTTTCTTTTGTTACCAATATACATTCACTGATATATACATAGGACAGAGTTGTATCTTTCTCTCTCTTCGGCGTGTCTCTATTGATTGATTAAACTAATTGTTATAAATTGGATATGATCTTTATAGGCTGTCTGAGTTCTAATCCATGTATAATCTCATAAAGGCAGAAGTTGTAGTGCGATTAACTGCATAATTTTGAGTAATTTTATCTTGAATAGTATAAAGACTATATAACTATATAACTATATATATATATATATATATATACAAGAACTTGCACAAATATGCATTTTCACAAGCATGTTTCTGTGATGATCAGTTGATTTCCTTAAAGAGTTGCAGCTTGTTCCTTCTTTCTTCTATCCCATCTAGAAAAAAATTGTTCCGTCTTTAAACAGTTCACCTTTTGAGTAAATATGATAGTAAGAGCTCAATAAAAGCTCTCTGGTTATCTAGATCCTAGAATCTATAAGTTTGGGGAGTTTCTCGTTCTATTTTCAGTTGGCAAATAGAAAGAGGGGAAGAGAAAACGGTAGTTCCTCAACAGTGAATATCATGGGGCTCGTTTGCTTTGTATCTTTGGATTTTGCTTGACGTATACTCTAAAGCTAAGTAGTGCGCAATTTGAATAAATACCACACATTTGCATGTCTAGTTAAATCACAGCAGAGACAATCTTTCCTAAATCACATGTTTGCTTCGTTTTTTTTTAATCCAGACAGATGTAGCCATCAAAGTCAAAATTGCCTCTCAACTTCACAAAATTAGCTAGAGCCCACGAATCTGAGTACAATGAAATATCAGTTGAATCCGAGTACAATGAAATATCAGTTTAGAGCGAGCCCTCAAATTAATAACCACTTCCCCATAGGAAAGATTAAAAAGAGTTTCTCCCAGTTTTCTACCACAAGGTACTAAGAAAGATGAAAACTCAAGATATGATACGAGGCAAATAAACTATTAGCCGATGCTGATGTTGGATTAGAAGATGGGTATGTGATAAGATACGGAGAGACAGCTGATTATGTCGATTTTGATTTGAATTGGAAATTAGGGATGTTCAATCCTTACTGTGCCGCTTAAATAATACACTAGGGCCTCGTTTGGTTGGGGAGATTAGCCATGATTAACTTAATAATAGGACTTTGTTTGATGTTTGGTATCCCCAATAACTTGCCGGGTCGACCCGCAAATATTATGTTATCATGGCTTATCTTGCCTTCTAAGCATGTTTTTATTGGATCACGGAAGGTCCAACAATATAATTGGGTTTCATTAGATTATTTTATCTTATCTTGGCAACCAAACGAGGCCTAGATGTATGGGGTCGTGTGTTTTTGTCAGCATTATTATGTTCTCTTTCAGTCATTTAGTAGTTTTGCCTGAAATCATTGGGTGATTGTCTCTTTTTTTCGAAAATTGAATAAAGTGGTAAAAAAACTAGACCCAGATCCGACATCTGACTTAATAATTGTGTTAACAGTATGGGCTGGATACCTCAGAATTTACGTACAACCCGTCCGAGTCAAACAGGTACCAGCAATCTGCAACTCAACCATCTGAGGAAAGAAATCGCTGCTGCATCATTATGTGACGTGGCACCCTATTTGATTTGATATTATTTGACGCTGCTGCACCAAAAGTGTCACCATTGTGTTTTTTGATTATCGAACTGTAATTATGTTGTGTGAGGTATTTGTATCTTGTGTGAGTAATGGTTCGTTTCCTTGATTAAAAAACCCCTCTTCAGGATTGCTGTGTGATTTATCGTATCTCTTTAAATTTGAAGTCACGACACTTTCGTTCCATTGTTATTTCTGTAAGATATTATGTTCTTACATTGTTGTTGCCGGATTGATGTATTCTATTATTATCCAAGTTTTGCTTTATTAGGTTGTATGCAGATCTGCCTTTTATCCTTAAATTGCCTCTCGGCGAATTTGATTTAATCCAGTTCTCCGCAATAATAGATTGCAAGGGGATTATGAATACACCTGATGATCGTAAGAATTAAAAAAATCGATCATACAAGTCCTCGACAAGAATAGTCATTTTGTTAAAAAATATTTTGCATTGATTTCTTAGCGTGACACAAATCGAATCTTGAATTTTGCAGAACAAACATAATCGAATATCTTTTCTACAGGCTTTCTAAAGCAACTAGAATTATTATAAAACGAAGCTTGTATGAGAAAGTTACGGTTTAATTAACGACAAAATTTGTTCATAATTATTTGTTTACAACATTTCATTTTGAATTAGCTTAATCGAAATGAGAGATTTATATGTTTAATTTTGTTACAGTTTCAAACCAATAGAGCGCGCGGCAGGAGATTCAACGGAAAACACTTTTTACGTAATTTTTTTCGTAGTAAATATAACTGTCGCATTATTTCAATACAATTTTGATCATAATCCGAATGAAGTGTCAGAAATTGCAAAACACGAATGATGTAGATTTGTACGTGCTTTCAAATGCAACTTGAACCATTACAATCGGATTTCGTGTGAGAAAGTTACGATCAAAACACCCCATATTAAAAAAAAATTGACAAATCAAACATGAAGACCAGTTTTGCTATTTTTATTTCTCCATTAATAACTCAACAAATACAGTAAACTTAGATACAATTGATCAATGCCAAAAAACTGGTCACACTCGATTTAATTTAAAATAAATAAATAATGAAAATCCAACACCTACTCGTTACTAAGGTGTTTCAATGTTACTTGTGAAGAACCAACTTAATTACTTGCCAAGGTATAACATTAATAAAAATGCATATAATTCTGAGATTGTCGTAGTATAGATACGGAGTGGGTTTATTGGTCGGAAGTGGAAGTCTCGTTGGCAGGAGCAGCCGCCCAATATTGCTTGACGGCGACGAGTATTTTCTCGGGGACAAGTGGGCCGTCCTCATGGTCCATCATTTTAGTATCCCATCTCATACCTTCTGCTATTTTCATTACCTTATTCACTACTTCAACTTCGTCTCTGAATATTATTGACCCTTCCGGCCTTAATATTCTATCCATTTCCAACAAAATGTCTTCATATTCACACCTGAAAAAACACGAAAACAAAACAAAAAAACAAATCATTCCAATTTCGATAGCCGATTTCGAACTGATAAACATTCTCTCTTTTCTAGATAAAATTTCATAAACCCGATAATGAACAAATAGTTTCTTGAATATTCTACAACCCGAAAACATCCTCAAGAAGAATTAAAGCAATGGTGGAATTGTGTGTGCTTACTTGTCCTGGTATAATTGGATTAGCCACTCGCGTGGATCAGGTC